CAAATATTATCTACCTTTTCATTTTCAAAGAAAAAAAGATGCATGACATTTTTTTAATGTTGTAATTGATGGCAGTAAGGATGGTGCTTTCCCTCTTGACTTGAACCAGTGAAATAAAGCAAGTGAAGCAAAGGATATTGTGGTGCTAGCAGTTTACAGCAGGTAACAGGACACCATGCAGTATGGGAGCAATATTGCTTACATCGTTTGTTTTCTGTTTTATTTGCACACAATACTGGAGAGCACATACATCATCCTTGTTTGATGCTTTTATATTGCACTTGCTTACATTGTTCGTCTGACTTAAAATGTGTATGCCAGTACTATTTTCCTGTTTACACTTTATCATTAACTTTCTCAAGAATATAGATTGTTTTAAAACTATAGTTTAGATGTAGTTATGTCCTAGCCGCATCTTTGGCATATGTATGTAGTCAAGAGGTTATTTACTTAACGCCAGTGTGGTTTTGGACTAATTACATTGTAATCCTTGACTTGTTTTTCTTGCATTTTTGGTTGATGTGTTTATTTTATTTTAAGTCAAACACCTTTTTCCAATTTTGAAAATGGAAAGTGTGGGTGTGGCATAGAATCGACTGCCCGTTTTGCAGGGTTCTATGAAACTCCTCTCTTTAATCCCCTGTAAATTTTGGGTGTGGCTTGGATTTGGATGAATCTGTAGCTCTTTAGATTTGAATTTGATTCTAATGCCATTATGAAGTCTCTGAATTTTAGCTTTACAAGTTGAAAGTCTTACTAATGCCCTTTCAGATATTGATTTAAAATGACAGGATAGTAGTGTTTCCTCTCTCATAACTTACATGTACAGTGTATTTGTGTACTCAATCTCATCATGCTAGTTGATACAAGCTGGACATAGGCACATTCACTTATTTGTATTTTCAAAAATATTTGTTTTAAGAGTAGATGTTGCAGTATATCCTTTTTAATAGGTGGAAGTTGTAAATATTTGAAGTAAGGACAGTCGTGTATAAAGAGGGCCTAATTTTATTTTGCTGGTTCCAGAATAGCGATTTACCTTCAGTTCTTTGGACTGCATGCAAAATTTCCCTGAAATAGGGCCAATTTTCCTCATTTTTATTCAGTGGCATGATTATGACATGAGGATGTGGTTAGTGATTGGTCTTGCTTCTAACATATTATGCAATATTATTGAGGCATCTTTCTCTCTTTGTTCACAGGAGTGGTCTCTTAAATTTCTGTGCAGTAGCAATGGCTCTAAACAATTTGGGTTACAAGGCTGTTGGAATAAGGATTGACAGTGGTGATTTAGCTTATCTGTCAAATAGAGCAAGAGAAACCTTCACTCTAGTCGCTGACAAGTATGACTTGCCCTGGTTTGCCAAACTAACCATTGTTGCTTCTAATGACATCAATGAAGAAACAATTTTGAGCTTGAATGAGCAAGGTCATAAGATCGACTGCTTTGGCATTGGAACTCATCTAGGTACAAAACAAAATCATACAATTTATTTCATGTGTTTATTTTACATGTCTTGAATAAACTACATAGTTTCTATTTTGCAGTTACTTGTCAGCGTCAGCCAGCCCTAGGTTGTGTTTACAAAATGGTTGAGATAAACGGTCAGCCTCGTATTAAGTTGAGTCAAGAGGTTGCTAAAGTAACAATGCCAGGTTGTAAAAGTGCCTACCGACTTTATGGAGCAAATGGTATGTTTATTCAAAGTCTTTGTAACTTTCTGTTGGTAGTAAAATTGTACCTTACTACATCCATGTTGTACAGGACATGCGTTAATTGATCTCCTGCAAAGATCTGTTGAAAACCCTCCTCAAGTTGGTGAGAAAGTGTTGTGTCGACATCCATTTGAAGAATCCAAACGGGCATATGTGATTCCTACACATGTTGAGGAGCTGTACAAGGTGTGTGATTCTTTTTTCTTATCTCTTTTACTGTAAGGCTGTTACAATTTCGTTTTTTCTGAAAAGATCTAATTGACACTGCAATTGCAGGTATATTGGAAAGATGGAAAAATCGTTCAGAATCAGCCAACTTTAGAAGGAATCCGGGAGAGGGTTCAGACCTCATTGAGAACGTTACGACAGGATCATAAGCGTAACCTGAATCCTACTCCTTACAAGGTACAACAAAATTATTTCAATTTTCCACTTGAAGCTAGCAAACAGCAGATAATTATTGTTACAAATATGATACTGACTAATTTTTCTATTCCAGGTCGCAGTGAGTGATGAGTTGTACAATTTCATTCATGATTTATGGCTTCAAAACGCACCAATTGGTGAGCTTTTCTGAGATTAGTTGTTGCCCAACAGGGCAACACACATTTGTTTCTTCAAAACCATCCATGTACTGGCTTCAGACTATTGACTTTGTTTTTAAAACTCCATGTTCTAAGATTTTTATCAATTCTCGGTGTTGGGAACATGTTCTTCTGAAACCTATCCAAAATTAAGCTGTTAAAGCTGTTATAAAGTCTATATTGAGAATGCATGTTAAACGCATGTTCAATCAACAAACATGTACTTATTCCTAGAGGTGCTCGCACCAGATTTGACTTCGTCTTATTTTTCATGTCCTGAATGTGACTCGTCTATTTCTCTCACATTCCTAGTTTTTGGAGGGAATGGTCATGATCCTTTAGTAGACCTACTAAAATCAGTGGCAGTGGCTAGCTAGTACTTACCTTGATGTCCCTCCCTAATCGTTAACTAGGAGCTGTAAACTTTTTACATTTTTTGTTTTTAGTTGGAAGTACTGTATTCCCGTTAGAGGGGTACAATTACTCTTTTAGCATTGATGCATAATAATGCTACGTTTCAGTGCTACTAAAACTTTTCTTAAGGACCTATCTGTCTTGTTTTTACGGGTGCTGGCTTCAGCATTGTTAAAACCTCTGCAAGGTAACATACCTCAAATGCATGCATAAACAAAACACAACAGCTTTTGTGCTTACAATCTTCTCTGCCAGTTTACTTATTACATGTTTAACTGTATTTTAAGAGATATGTTGCTTTACATTTTAAGACTGTCTTTCAGAGTACGCACAAATAATATTTTTGTCGTTGGATTTCATGATTTTAAAGGTGCTGGCAGTGCTTTTGTGAACACAGTTATTGCATCTTTTTACAAAGAATTTCAGAACTGATCAGGTATCTGAAGAGGTGTACACAGGTATCTAGTCAATGCACAATAATTTTATTTTGGCTGTCTTTTCATTGGCATTTCTGTTCCATTCGAAATTACAACCTCAGATTGTTTTTTTTACTGACCATTTTTTAAATGCATCTATTCAATCACATTCCACTGTGTTAAATTGAATCCTTTTTAGACAATTTTCATTTATTACTCATTCAAGCAAAGCTCAACCACAGCTTGTCTTTTTACTTAAGCATTTGCAGTAGTAACGTTCAGTGTTTTCAATGAACAAATGAAGCAGTGCCCATGCCTCCTCATAATTTCACCCTTTCCCCAATTTTTCTTTTCAATTGGTTGGGTTTTCCATTCTTACCACTTTTATGATCTCTCATGATACGTACTGTATTTTAAAATCATGGCAATATGTGTTACCAAGAGCAACTAATGTTCAAAGACAGATATTAAGTATCTATGTTATCAGTTTGATTCGCCCAGAAACATTACTTATTGTCCACAACCTGTTCAATTCATTCCTTTATTTTGTAAATTGGAATCAATTGAGATTTTGGAAAACCTTACTAGTCCTACTCATGTTTTAGCTGCAATCTAGCTGTGTGTCCATCACTGTTACATTTAATTGTTTAAAGTGAAAGTATTCATGTTTTAATTTTCTAAATTTGCCATCAAACTGTGATGTGAGATGTAGCGGAACAACTATGTATCTAGTCTTTCACTTCATAATATTCGGTTTTGATGTTTTTTTACACTTACTTGCTGTAAAGGTATGATAGTTCTGCTATGATTTCTTAGTTTTTTGACAAGTCTTACTGTTTGTTTCGTGTTGACTATAAAGAAAATAATTGTATTTGATAAAGAACCAAAAGAAATGTCTAGTAAAGGCAACTTTTTGTCATGGAATATTTTATACCACCTCTTGTTCATGCTCATCATAAGGTTGTTACACATTAGAAGTCAGATCTTAATAGAGTTTAGTTATATTAAAAGGATTTTGTCCAGAATATTTTGAAAATAAATTTTTAACTCAAATTTTTGATTGATTCAAAAAATTTATAAAGAATAAAAATAGGAAAAGAATCAAATTTTTGTTATAGCAGTGTTACAATTTTATCTCTTGTTACGAGAGAAATGAGTCAAGTATTTCTTAATTGCTCTCTGGCTGGCCAAGAAACACCGAGAAGTGTCTCTCTGTATTGCTTAATTGTGTATTTTACGGCGAATATCCGGTGGGCGTTGAATCCCGACATTCGCCTGGATAAAGTCCGGAGTCACCGGACTCTTCCGGCGAATGTTGTGAAAGAGCTGGTAGAATATGTTTCCACATTCGCCGAGGGGCCTTTGGCGAATGTAGTACCGTTTTAGGATTATCTGTTGAGAGTGCATTTAGGGATTGATTGGAATATCTGGCAAGTTTTGACAAATGTTAAGTATTTTATTCTTTCTTACGATTCGTGCAGTTCTCTCAAGATGGCGAGTGCACACTGTACATATTGTGTTTCCCGTACATTGTCTTGAGGTTTAATTGGAATGTTCATTTTGTCTTAGGTCATGTTCTCGTACAAATTAGAAATGAAGTTCAAAAGATTAGAGCTAGAGCAATATCTAATACTCAGTGCCCATGGTTCTTTCTTGCCATATGGACCACATAAGTATACAATGTAAGTGACATTTAGTGTACAAATTATCTATAGACAGAATATATATTCAGCGATAATGTCCATGTTCTCCACCAAATGACGGTGATAGTATTGTCATTCCTAGCCATGTTCCATTTATATGGAACTCACAGTTTAACTTACGACCAGTGTCTGCAAAAAAGCTTCCCACTTTTGAGAACAGCCATTTAGTTGATTCCATATCAAGTTATTTACCAAAAACATAACTGGCATAAATTTTGAATTTTTCAACAAACTTGTTTGAAAATTTGTAATATAGATTTGGTCTGGTTATGTATGTGGAACTATCAAATGTTCAAGTGTACTTCACGTAATATTCAATGTTAGTACATTGAATTTTTTGTAAAAATTAAGTAATAGATGAATACTTTGTAGGCACTGTAATATACATACAAGTGTGATTAAAGTACAGTATTTTAGGAAGATGTGTTTTATTTGGGGAAGAAGAATGGGGCCAGCACAGCACGGCTCACGCAACGTGGCTCACGACAACATGCATACCTATTTTTGATCAGGGACTATCTCTGCATTTTGAAAAATGAAGGCCGCCTCACGATCCGGGACTTGTCACAAATTTGTTGGTTTATTTGAAATAAAACAAAATAAGGAGATTTTAACCCACATCGCACCAGGAACTTAAAGTATCGCCCATAATTGTGGTGAGACTCCAGAAAGTGCGTCCGTCATTAATTTGCCGTTACGAATCTTGCCACTGCAAAGGGCTAATAGCGCCCGAATGGCGGGCAACATTTTGCGTACAGTGCATCCGTGTATACTAAAAGATGTGGGCCCAGCGTGAGTCAGCTTCAGTGGCGGATTAAGGTCTGGCTGACAGGGGGGAGGGGGGGGGGCGATGCACCGTCGGTTGCCTACATACAGGGGGTTTGTGGCGCAAATTACCTACCTTTTTAGGCGTCTCTTTAGAGACGACAGGGGGGCGCCCCCCCCCCCCTAATTCCGTCAGCGTCAGCTTATTCTGTACATGAGTGTAGATGACGGGGTTATCGCCCCATAGGCGACCAACACTAAACACGACCCCGCCCGGCTGAACATCACCTGCGTAAGGTCGGCTCTGCACAAAGCGGCC